CCTTGCCTCTCATTTTCTTCTCATTTTTAATAAAATTCATGTGTGACTATCACTTGTCACTGGTTTTTGTAATACTCTATTTTAGCTGACGAATGATGTAACAATAGCACTAAGCCTTAAGAAGCAGGAAAGTCCACCTGATAGAAAATGTTTTAACCAAAAGAATCACTTGAGGAGCTGGTTAAGAACCTGAAACCCCAGCTCTTCCCCACATTTGCTGTCTTGGGTATGGAGTAGGACCAGGGAATACGTGTTCTGTTTGTTCTGGTTACAACAAGCACCCAGGTTGTTCTTTTAAGTAGAAAATGTTGAGAAATGAAATTTGATCAGAGGCAGTGCTGGTGCCATGGGGGACAAGCAGGGCTGGTGGGTTCCAGGTACAGAAAGGCAGGCTTTGGGTTCAATTGGAAGGAATTGTTTCACACTGGAAAGGGCCCTAAAGAGGTGAGGCTGCCTCCCTGGCTGGATTCCAGCAAACCACCTCAACCCTTCCAAGGGCTAAACTTGTAGCAGGTGGGTGAGGATCAGGCTTACCTGGCAGAAATTCTGGGTTCAAGGGAGTGTGGACTTTTCAAAACTTGGAGCTAGTGATTAGTGTGAGGAAGGGGGCAGCAGCACCCAGCGATGAGAAATCAACAATCAACAGAAGCCAAAACCACACCCATGCCTAGAACCCAGGGAACTTCAGGGCAAGATAGAAACAGACTGGATGTAATTAAGCCCTCCAAGGCCTTGAGGACCAGAGGGAAGCTGACATTTCTAATCTACATGTACTGTGAACCACAGGAGGAAGAATACCATTGTTGATGTGCACTGCAGTGTCGGCTGTTAACAAGATTAACTTGAAACACACAGGCCTTGGCAATGAACATGCCAAAGCGTCTTGCATTTGCAAGTCAAAACTGAAGAGGAAATGGATTGTGAAGCAGTGGTCCCAGGGCTGCAGGGAGATGCACTGGCCTGGGGACCTTCGTCTGAGGTCAGTAATTCCCCAGGCAGCCCTGGGGCAGGAGGGAAAATTTGTGGCCGCCCTGACCTCTGGCAGCAATGTGTCAGAAGCACAGGTGTGGCCTGATTGTGGATCCTGGTGGAGTCTGGATCTATAGACTCATTCAGTGCTGGCCTGAGGGAGGCACGGAAACTTAGCAGTGGTCATCACCATTGTTGATTAATGACCCCTGCCTTCCCGGACGCATTAGCAGGGAGCTGGATTGGAAGTGGGGCAGCTGAGACTCAAATCAGCACAGTGTTATGGGATGCTGGAATTCTGAGCCACAGCTTAACTTGCTGTGCCATAACACTGGCCCCAGTAAATCTTGAAATGAGAAGATCCGTATATGTAGACAAGAAGACATAAGTAGTGTCATGAGTTCTTTTGCTCTTGTTGGATGCTATCATCTGCTCTTTACTATCATTATTTTATGTAATTCTCCCGGCTGCCCTATGAAGTAGAAAGTATAATTGTGCCTATTTTGGAGATGAAGAAACCAAAGCCAGCTTGTCCAAGGCTGTATGCTTAATTATTGGCAAAAATGAGAACGGAACCTAGGTTTGTCTGACACCAAGTCCATCCTCTTAAAACCTGCACTGTACTGCCTTACAGTTTATTCCTGCTGGTCTTAAGTCAGTGAGGAGAGACATGGACAGCATCCTGTCTCACTTAGAATAAACCTTGCTTTATTCACCGTCCCTGTCCTCGTGGAAATTCTTTTTCGACATGAGACAACAACCAAGATACCCTCATCTTCCCACAACAAAATTATACGACAAACAGATTACTTACCCCAGTGGTTGGGACTCAAGTGTATTAGCTTTTCATCATTGTAACACATGCCTCAAAGAAGCTACTCAGGAAGAATGGGGTTTATTTTGGCTCAAGGATTTGGAGGTTCGTAGTCGTCTGGTGAGGCAGCAGATGGCAATGGCAGAGTGTGTGTGCGTGGAGGAATGATTGCGTGGTGAGCTGGGTAGCTGGGCACACTCGGGCTCTTACAACCAAGCCTCTCCCAAGAACTGGGCACACCCTCTATGATGTGAGCACATCCCACTGGCTGCACAACCACCACTAAATTTACAACTTTGGGGATGAAACACCTGCATGAGCTCAGGAGTCATACCTTATTCAAATCACGGCGAGAAATGTTCCAGGTTCCAGGCATTTTTTTTGAGGATTTATTTATTTGAGAGAATTTCAGAAAAGGGAGAGACACACAGAGAGCTTCCATCTGCTGGTTCACTCCTCAGACAGCCGCAATGGCCAGGCCAAGACCAGGCCAACACCAGGCAGTTCATCTGGGTATCCCATGTAAGTGGCCAGAACCCAAACACATGAGTCATCTTCTGCTGCTTCTCCCAGGCCATTCGCAGGGAGCTGGAGGCGGGACATGAACAGGTGCCCATGTGACATGTCGGCATCGCAGGCAGTGGCTTTACCTGCTAAACCACAATGTTGGCCCCCATTTTCTGACTTTGGAAAACTTCTGATTGCATAGCACTAATCTGAAAAATTCAGTTTTTTGGCACGCTTTGGATTTCACATTTTTGTATTAGAGTAGCCATTATATTCTTTACCACCATGTACTCACAGGGGAAAAAAGTCAATTTCCTCCAAGTATGTCCTTGAAGAATCAGAAATCGGTAATTATATTAAATCTTGTCTCTGAGGCAAAACAAGTGGCATGCACTCACCACGTACAAGCAGTTCTCCCAAAGGCCCTTGTGTGCTATGTCAGTATTTACATATTTGCTCAACAGTGGAGTTACGCCTGCTGCTTCAAGAGGAATTGTCATTATTCGTGGCCAGTGCTAAGATCCGTGCTTCTGAGCAAACACTGGCATTCCGGAAGACGTGAACGTGACACTGTGGGCTGTCCAGTGTCCTGATCAAGGTGCCTGATTCGACTGATACAGCAAATGGATTTCTTCAGACTGACACACTTCAGAATTGTGTCAACACTTAGATCTGCACAACGCAAAGATTCAATACTTTTTTTTAAAAAAGATTTATTTTATTTGAGTTAGAGAGAGGAGGAGAAACAGGCATAGATCGATCTTCTATTCATTAGTTCACTCCCCAGATGGCCACAACAGCAGGGGTTGGGCCAAGCTGAAACCAGGAGCCAGGAGCTCCATCTGGGTTTTGCACAGTGGGTAGCAGGGGCCCAAGCCCTTGGGCCATTTTTCAGTGTTTTTATCAGGCCATTAGTAGGGAGCTGGATCAAAGTGGAGCCACCAGGACACAATCCGGTGCCCATAAGGGATCCCGGCATCACAGGTGGTAGCTTTACCCACTACGCCACAACCACCCACCCTAGGGATCAGTACTAACTGACCAATAAATGATGTGATAAAATCCACAATCCAAGTAAGACAAACTAAGGGGTAGGGATTTTAATGTTAATAGAGGATAAGTAGGATCTCACATTGCAGTTAAACTAAGAAATCACCATCATCAAACTTTAGTGTAATCTGACAATAATTCATAATGATCGAAAAAGGGTTAAAAGACTCCCCCTGCTTCCCAACACGGAGACCAGTTTTTACTCATATACTTTAGCCAAAACAAGAACAGACAGGAAAGCCTGGGCTGGTGGACGACCCGAGACCCTTCCCCAACCGCAGCCTCATGCCTCCCGTGGGAATCTGGGTCACTGGGACCCTGGACCCTATACTAATTCACAAGCCCCCTGCCCGCCAGCCTGCCAGCCCTCTGCTAGGCTGTTGTTGCCATCCATCGCCCTCCTGACCCCCAGGCTGGAGACAAGCCGAAGGCTGGGAGCCAGGCCAAGCCTCCCAGAGGGACTGCTCCTTCCATAGCTCCCAAAGCTGAAATGCCAGTGTGGAGAGGCTGCAGTCATTGGATAGGGCCCCGTCAGGAGCTCAGCAGTGCAGTCAACAACCCGAGCCTCCTGGGGGCCTTGCCCAGGCCACCTCTGTGACCCCCTACAGGGCCTGGTCCCTGGGCTGTTGTCATTGTGCAGTGGGCCCTGGGCAGGATGTACACTTGCTGGCAGGACCTGGGGTTCCCACGGGGCCTTCTGACGGTGGGACCCAGGTAACGTGCAGGTCGGGGGGGTCACAGGGTCTCCTTTCTGCCCTGCACATGACTCAGAGCCCTGTCATACAGGACAGCCATGAAGCACTGGTCACTCATTGGGGTGACCTTGATAACTCTGAGTCACTTCCCCATGGAACATTCCAGAAGCACTGCATGTGTGATGTGAGCACCTGCCGGAGCCCACGCAGCCCAGTTCTGTGAATGCAGCATCCATGTAACCTCAGATCTGGAAGAAAGCTCCTTCACTAAACACAGCCTACCTTCCCCAGAAATGTGGAAGTGAGGATGACCAGGGGTGGGGGAGGTCCCATCCTCCAGTGTCCCCAAGTGGGGCAGCAGGTCCTGCCTCTCCAGTAGGTCTAAAGCCTTGCTTTCAGCTCCCTGGGAACTTGGAAGGCCTGGGTGCTGCCAGGGGCCTCCTGAACTAACAACCAGGTCCCGCCTGCGTCCTCTGCTGCGGTTGGGCCTCACCTTGGGCAGCCCGGGCACACAGCAGCATGGATGTCCTGCCCGGCTCCACCTGGAGCTGTTGGACTGCAGAGCCGGTGGATCCTGTACCCCATGAGGCCAGCTGCATGGCCCTCAGGGGAATGGGGTTGTGTTCTCCCTTGAGGATGCAGGAGATGTTGGATACGGACACAGACAGCTCTGTTGTAATGCACAGCTCTGTGGACTGGGACCTCCCTGCTGTGCCAGAGACCTCAGACCCCGACCCTCGTGTGCCTGTGCCATGTGGACACTGAGACTCTCCCTCCCCCCCCTCCCCCGGCCCAGCCTCTGGGATGCGTCACTCTATGCTCTACTTCTATGAGGTCACCCCTTCTGTGATCCCTACACAGGTGAGATCGCCCAGCATTTGTCTTTCCGTGACAGCCAGCCACCTGTCACCTCCATCACCTCCCCAAGGTGCACACAGGAACCCAAACATCACACCGGACCAAAGCCATGTACAAAGGTGGATTTTATTCATGAGAAGCATTTGCAAATGCTCAAGGAAAGAAAAGCGTTCCATCAGCTGGGCCTGCGGATTGCTCCTGGTGACGGGGGCAGAGCGAGGCTACTTGGGGGCCACTCTGCAGCAGCAGCTGCCAGAGCTGCTCCCTCGGGATGGCAGGATGCAGCACGCCCTCAGCAGGAAGCGGAGGATCCTCCTGCCCACCCCGCGCCGGCCCTGCCTCTTGCCCTGGGCGCTGGCTGTGGTGTCAGTGGTGGCTGCAGTGGCTGTGGGCCCAGTCCCATTGGGCTCACAGGCTGCTGTAGTGGCTTCTGGCTCTGCGAGGTCCCCACGGCTCCCGGCACTGGGGCTGGAGGACGACACCTTGGAGGCTGGCTCGGGGGCGGCACTGGGAGCAGGGCTCCACTGCTGCTGTGGCTGGCCTGGTAGGAGAGAGTCAAGAGTGGGCTCACCATGGGGGGCTTGGGCTCAGCTCCTGGAGGCCCCGAGGCAGGGGGAGGGCAAGACTCACTGGAGACCTCAGAGGAGTCGGGGGCTGCGCTGGGAGCTGGGCTCCTGGCACTGGGGCTGGAGGACGATGCCTTGGAGGCTGGCTCGGGGGCGGCGCTGGGAGCAGGGCTCCACTGCTGCTGTGGCTGGCCTGGTAGGAGAGAGTCAAGAGTGGGCTCACCATGGGGGGCTTGGGCTCAGCTCCTGGAGGCCCCGAGGCAGGGGGAAGGCAAGACTCACTGGAGGCGTTGGAGGAGTCAGGGGTGGCACTGGGAGCTGGGCTCCACTGCTGCTGTGGCTGGCCTGGTAGGAGAGAGTCAAGAGTGGGCTCACCATGGGGGGCTTGGGCTCAGCTCCTGGAGGCCCCGAGGCAGGGGGAGGGCAAGACTCACTGGAGGCTTTGGAGGAGTCAGGGGCGGTGCTGGGAGCTGGGCTCCACTGCTGCTGTGGCTGGCCTGGTAGGAGAGAGTCAAGAGTGGGCTCACCACAGGGACCCTGGGCTCAGCTCCTGGAGGCTCTGAGGCAGGGGAGGGCATGACTCACTGGAGGCCGTGGAGGAGTCGGGGGCTGCGCTGGGAGCAGGGCTGCTGGCACTGGGGCTGGAGGACGACGCCTTGGAGGCTGGCTCGGGGGTGGTGCTGGGAGCAGGGCTCCACTGCTGCTGTGGCTGGCCTGGTAGGAGAGAGTCAAGAGTGGGGTCACCACAGGGACCCTGGGCTCAGCTCCTGGAGGCCCCGAGGCAGGGGGAGGGCAAGACTCACTGGAGGCTTTGGAGGAGTCAGGGGCGGCGCTGGGAGCTGGGCTCCACTGCTGCTGTGGCTGGCCTGGTAGGAGAGAGTCAAGAGTGGGGTCACCTCGGGGGGCCTTGGCCTCAGCTCCTGGATGGCCCTGAGGCAGCAGGGGCTGGGAGGGGAGAGGGCAAGACTCACTGGAGGCCTTGGAGGAGTCACTTTGTGTGGAGGACACGTCCACGGCCATGCTGTCACAGGACACTGATGTCACACACAAGCCGTCGTCCTCTATGGGGTGGTGCTCGCCGCTCTGCGAGGACTTGGGCAGGGACGCGGGGCCGTGGGGCCGAGGGCCTGGTGACCCCTCGGTCCCTGTGCCTGGAAGCAGGCCGAGGCCCTCCAGGTACTCCCTGGCCTCTGGGTCCCGGGGAACACCCAGGGGCTGCAGCAGGGTGACCGCGCCCTCCTCGTCCTCCTCGTCCTCCTCGTCCTCCTCGTCCTCCTCAGCGGCTTCTCGGCTGGGGCTGAACCACCAGTGGGTCCTGGCGTCCTCCGCACTGGGCCTCCTCGAGGCGTTGACGGTGAGCAGCCACGACAGCAGATCCTGCAGGGCCGGGCTGACAGCACGCGGCAACGCATACCAGCCACACAGCACCCTGTCCCGCAGCTTGTCCGTGTCCTTGCCGTGGAAGGGCAGCGCGGCCGCCAGCATGGCAAACAGCACCACCCCCAGACTCCACACGTCGGCCTTCAATGCGTCGTAGTCCTCCCCGAGGAAAACCTCTGGTGCGCAGTACTCGGGGGTCCCCCAGAAGCCCCTTACCAGCGTGCCCTGCTCCAGCCGCAGGCTCAGCCCGAAGTCCGCCAGCTTGACGGTCATGTGCTCGTCCAGCAGCAGGTTGCCCAGCTTGAGGTCCCGGTGCGCCACGCGCTGGCCATGGCAGTAGCTCACGGCAGCCAGCGCCTGGCCGAACAGGGTCCTGGCCTCGGCCTCGGCCAGGCCGCCCTGCTCAAACACGTAGCTCTGGAGCGAGCCCTTGGTCGCCAGCTCCATGACCAGGAACAGGTGCTTCCCCGCGTGCCGCTCCTCCAGCAGCCGCACGATGTTGTTGTGCCGCAGGCTCCTCAGGATGTCCGCTTCCCCCTGCGCGGACAGCGGGCAGCTGGGAGAGCCGTCTCGCAGGAGGATCTTCACCGCCACGTACTTGCCCGACGCCAGGTGCCGGGCCAGCTTCACCAGGCCGAAGCCGCCCCGGCCGATCACGTCCACGAAGCGGAACCCGTCCAGAGGAGGATGGAAGTCCAAGGAGTCTTCCATGCTGCCGGGCACCTAACTACGCTCTCTCGACTCCCTAACTCGCTCGACACACACTAGCTAATCACCGACCCTCAGTGCACTGCCTACAACACAAAGGGACCACGGGGGCCTGACTGCCCAGCTGACTAAGACACAGCACCAGCTACTCTCACTACTCTAGAGGCGAAGCCGCAAGCCTACCTCAATAAAGCAGAAACAACAAAGAGGTAAAGTCACTAAATTCTCTAACGCTGATACTTCTGAGCGGGCTAGCTGACTAGAGTGGGGGAAGCACAAATAAAGAAAACTGCAAAAAAAGGCCAAATGGGCAAAACAACAACGAGGAGGAAAACAACAAACTAAACAAAACGGGAAAAAGCAAAAACCAAACAGACCCAGAAACAAACAACCAAGAAAAAGCACAAGCAACACCAACGAGCGCAAAGGCTGGTTAGATGGGTCCTAGTTACACAGATCACAAAAGAGTGCTCTCTGGGTAAGGCGGACAAAAATCCAGGCCCCCGCAGCACCTATATATAGTTTTTGGGGGCTCACCTCACATAGTGGTGCCTTATGAAGTCAGAGCGAGAAACGGACCAATCACAGCCCAGCCAGGGACTGTGGCATAATAGGACTTCCATAACAGTGGTGCCTTATGAAGTCAGAGCAAGAAATTGACCAATGGGAGCTGTAGTTCATCCACAGCAGTTTTCTCGAGAATCTTCCAATTAAAAAGAAATGATACCCAAAGAGTTTTGGCCTAGGTTGGTGATCGGGATGGGTACTTAATTTTTGAGAAACTCCAACCTGTAGATTGCTTCGGTGGCCTTCTCATTTCTGGTTTAAATATGATAAGTGGTGTCTTTTCAAGACCTCCTAGTGTCTCCACTTAGTGTATCCCCTCCTTTGCCTTTACCCTCTGAGTGATGGGTCTCAGAATGATGGGACAATCTCTCTGGCCTCGGTAAACTCAACACGTGTTCTGTTGCCCAAGACACTGCCAGGTACACAGTTCGCATCTGCAGAGCCGAGAGGAAGGTGGCTTTGTCACCCTTTCCCCCTAGGTCACCGTCAGATTTCTCGGCAGAAACCCTGGAAGCCCAGAAGGTAGTGGGGTCCACGCAGCCCAGACATGGAAGGCCCAATCAGTGGCAGCCGAGAAAGCTGCATCCTCCAAGCCTGGCCTCCGCCTGGTAGGGAGGAATCGAGGCGCTCCCAGGCACGTGGGGTTTTTGGGCTCCTGTCACAACAACAACTAAAACTCCTGGCTCCCAGCTTCAGCCTGGCCAAGGCCTGGAGGTCCTTTATGGGCTGTATCAGAGGATGGAAGAGCCCCCCCCCCGCCCCCCACTAGCACTCTCTCTTTCCCTCTTTACTCTCACACAAATGGAATACAACTTAGAACACAAAGAAAGACTACGTGCTTCAATGCCTCGGGACCTGCACAGCCCAGAACTACGAGGCGATGGCCGCATCACAGCCTCGGATCTGTCTCCTTGGGACAGCCTGGTGCTGAGCCCTCAGGACCAGTGTTTCTCCCGAGGAAGCCACAACCTCACCTCAGGTAGGAAATGAGCCCGGGAACCCCCGCCCCCACACAGCAAGTGGATCGGTGTCTCCTGCAGCTCTTGAGGAGCCCCCAGGGCCCAGCACAGCCGTGGGCCCCAGGAACACGTGGTGCTCCCTCTGCACCGACTGCCCAAGCCCTCTTGGGAGAGGAACCCTCCCTGGGGAGATGACCCCTCTTCCGGGATGCCCAGGGACATAGCACGGCACAATTTCTCCATGATTTCCTGCAGTGCTGGTCACCTCCTCAGGCTGGGAGGAAAGAACCAGCACCCCAGGAGTTCTCACTGCAGTTTTATTAAATAAGCTGAAAAAACAATGGAGTATGAGGACTTTGGGGAGTGTCTTCCATGAAGCACAGGTAAAAACTCATCTTTGTCGGCACACCAAATAAAGGGGAAGCTCAGGACCTACCAAAGCATCACCAAATATATAACTCAACATTTATTCAGGTGCAAAAATTTTTAAAACCTGCGCATAGTTTTTCCTTCACATACTTTTCCCGTGAACGTCTTGTAAACCCTCTCCTATGCGTGAATTTCAAAATCTGCAACAAAGAAGCTCACCCTTTATTTCCATTTCCATGAGGTTTTCAAGTCCCTTCAAGTGACCCAGTTCGAGGAAAACCTGAGTTCCCATCCGGATTGCAAAGCAGCGTCGGCAAGGACGAGAGACACCACAGCTCTCATTCTCATCGCTCCTCCCAGTGCTGGTGGGAGCCTTGCAGACCCACCTGGTTCTAGAAAATGCATCTCCCCGAGGTATGTGATGGCCCCGAGACTCTGTGTCCCCCAGCCCTGCTCAGTAGTAGCCTGAACATGCTGCTAAAGTCCAATCTTGTCCATGCTGGACTAAAATGAGGGGCTGGAATCTCCATGGACCGCCCCAAGAATTCAATTCAGTGTAAATCCCAAAGGAAACTCCTAAGAAAATGTCTTATTAGACTGTTTTTATTTTTAAAACTTGATTTATTTAAAAGGCGACTTACAGCTACAGGGAGACAAAACACACACACACAGAGAGAGAGAGAGAGAGAGAGAGAGAGAGAACTTTCATTCACTGGTTCCCCTGCCCACATCCCCACATGGCTACAAGGCCAGTCTGAAGTCAGGCACCCAAACTCCATCCAGGTTTCCCCTCAGTTGGCAATGCCCCAGGTAGTTGGCCATCTTCCTCTGCCTTCCCAGGCACGTAAGCAGGGAGCTGGATCAGAAGCAGAGCAGCCAGACACAAACCAGCCTCCCAATATGGGATGCCAGTGTCACAGGCGGCAGCTTGACTGCTATGCCCTAGCGCTGGTGCCCAGGCTTCTTTAAGATTTATTTATTTGAAAGGTCAAGTGATCTTCTATCCTCTGCTTACTCCCCACTTGGCCGCAATGGCCAGGTGAGCTGGTTTGAGCCAGGAGCCTGTGAGGCTGGCACTGTGTGTAAGGGGTTAGGCCCGCGGTGCAGTGCTGCCATCCCATATGGGTGCTGGCTTGAGCCTCAGCTGCTCCACTTCCAGCCCAGCTCCCTGCTAATGTGCCTGGGAAAGCTGCGAAAGATGACCCAAATGCTTCGGCTGCTTCCCTCACATAGTAGACCCAGAAAGCTCCTGGTTCCTGGCTTCCACCCGGCACTTCCCTTGCCATTGTGGCTATTTAAGAAGTGAACCAGCAGATGTAAGACCTCTCTCTCTTTGTCTGTCTGTCTGTGTGTCTCTCTCTCCCTCTCTATCTCTCTCTCTCCCCTTCTATTCTGTGTTTGTGTGTGCATGTGTGTGTCTGTCTGTACTCCTCCCTCCCTCTCTGTAACTCTGCCTTTCAAAATATAAATATTTTTAAAAAGCCTAGGATGCCACCCAAGTCTACCACCTGGGGGCAGGTGCCCAGGTATTTGGACCATATGCCGCTGGTTTCTCAGGTTTGTTAGTAGGGAGCTGATTGGAGCCAGGGCTTGAACAGGCACTTCAACTATGGGATGCTGGCATCATAAGCAGTGTCTTAGCCTGCTGTGCCATACACCAGCCCCCAAGAACCAAGGTTTCTTTCTCGCTCCTAATCTGATATCAGCCAAGTAAAGGCCTTTTGCTCATCCTCAGAGAGGTGTCACAGCCTTTTGTCACACTTGGTTCACGGGGTGTGGTGATAGATAGTCTGCTCGTGTGTTGCACGTGTTTTATGAACTGTTGGAAGCCCTCGTACCCTGCTAAAGTCTGCTGGGGGCCATGTGCTAACGGGGCAGACCTGCAGAACCAGTGACAGCCAGGTTACTCATCACCAGAGAGAGTCTACACAATGTCACTTTAGCCGGGCAACCAGACACGAAACACCACCCTTCCCCCTGCCCTTCAGGGGACACAGGCACAGCCCCCTGGGTGGCCACCCCTGGTCACAGTGCCTGAGCTGGATGAGCTCATAATGCAGGTAGCGTCCATGCCAGGGCTCTGCCGGGCAGGAGACACAGCTACCAGGAAGAGCTCGCTCCCCTGGAGGCTTCCACTGGGGGCTGTGAATGCCAGGATGGTGCAAGCCCTCTCTCCTGGGAAGAGAGCCTGTGTCCAAGATGGAGTCCAAGAGACAGAGAGGTGAGAGAAGGGGCTGGGGCCAGGGCAGAGAGAGAGAGTGAATGAATGAATGGGCTGATCCTGTCCTGGAGATCTGCACCCCAGTTCTAATGCAGGTTTACCATTAGCACCCTCAGATCCCATGAGATCCCTCAGTGTCTGCGGATCTTTTCCAGCCCACAAGTAAGTAGGTTGCCTTTTTTCTGTTCTCATTGTCTCAGTTGTCTTACTGTTCTTAACTGGTTGACTGAGAGCATTCTGGGGAATGTAAGTTAGCTGTTGTGTGTGAGTTCCGGGAGCTGACATCAATTATGCCTCCAGAACTGACGTAAAGCTGCCTCTGCACACTGCTCCCTGGACTCCCTGGCCCATGGGCAGGCTGCCCCGCCCCGCCCCTCAGACACCTGTGGCTGCTTCTAACCTTGGGCTGTGTGGGCTCTGTTCCCAGCCCTAGGGACGCTGCCCCACATGCTCATGTGCCGTCTCATGTCCCCGCAGCAAAGTCTGCACACCCGGAACTATTTCCCTGCTTCTTTGCTAGGACTGTGTGAGCTCATGGGGACACGGGGGCTCCCCAAAGTCTGTGCATGGGTGGAGTTAAACTTGGTCCATATTGTTTTAATCCATGCATAATTTTTTCATAATATGATTTTTTATGAATTTTTGAAGACTCTCTTTTACAAAATTTTTTCTTTATTTATTTGAGAGGTAGAGTTACAGACAGTGAGAGGGAGAGACAGAGAGAGAGGTCTTCATCCGATGGTTCACTCTGCAATGGCTGGAGCCGCACTGATCCGAAGGCAGGAGACAGGTGCTACCTCCTGGTCTGCCATGCGGGTGCAGGGGCCTAAGCACTTGGGCCATCCTCCACTGCCTTCGCAGGTCACAATAGAGAGCTGGACTGGAAGAGGGGCAACCGGGACTAGAATCCAGGACCCATATGGGATGGCGGTGCTGCAGGCGGAGGATTAACCAAATGAGCCTCAGCCCCAAGCTGCACTTTCCAGGAAGCTAGAATCAGAAGCAGAGCTCAAATTTGAATCCTGACACCCCGATGTGTGTTGAGGGTGTCCTAAGTGGCTTCTTAACCACCACACCAGGTGCTTACCCCCTCAAAGTATTTTTAATCAGTAAAGTGCAATCATGGAGGCCAGCACTGTGGTGTAGCAGGTGAAGCCACGGTCTGCAGCCCGGCATCCTATCTGGATTCTGGTTCAACTCCCAGCTGTTCCACTTCCAATCCAATGCCTTTCTAATGAGCCTGAATACGGACCAAGTCCTTGGGCCCCTGTATCCTCATGGGAGACCCCTAAAAAGCTCCTGGTTCCTGGCTTCAGAACAGCCCAGCTCTGCCCATTGCAGCCATCTGGGGAGTAAACCCACAGATGGAAGATCTCTCTGTCTCTCTCTCTCTCTCTCTTCCCCCACAACTCTGCCTTTCAAATAAATAAATAAATATTTTAAAAAGAAGTGAATTCTAAAAGAGAGAGACACTTAGGTACAGAGTGCAGGTGTCTGTCCAAACATAAATGGGAGCAAAATTATAAAAGCTTGTACTAAGAAAAACATTGGTTGAAGCAGGAAGAGAATGTATGTTCTACTCTAACGCCCGTGACGGACCTAAACTCATGCATTGTTTTACAGACACAGACGTCCCAGTTTTCCATTCCTGAAACATCGATATGGTCTGATAGATTTAGAGGCACCGGTGCTTGGCGGGTAGCAAGGAAGACTTTGGTGAAGTAAGCAGCACGTGGTCCACGCTTGCGTCTCCGAGGGGAAAGGCAGGCGCAGCATCAGACACGGTGGCAGTGAGTCCCAGCGGGACAGACAGTCTTGGGTGGAAATAAACAGTTACTAGAGACTGTAACACTCTGTGTTGAACTTTCCTCTCCTGGCAGTCTACCATCTCTGTACCTAGGCGTTGGCCTTGATACTTTTTTCTTAACAACGCAGCCAGCTCTAGCTGAGAGCCGTGTCCCTGTGTCTGTGCCCCAGTTTGCCAGTCAGCACCACCGGAACACCCATGACTCAGGTGCACAAACTGTGTCCGTGGACTTGATTATTAAGAAACAACTCTTAAGCAGACAACAGTGTCCAGCTAATACAGGTGTGAAGGACAGTCCGCTGCCTTAGGCTCCCTTACGCACGGCTGTGTTCACAACAGCATCAGCATTGAACAGAAGGCAATGGCCGTGGCCTCCGCCAAGGTGTGGAGTGGAGACTTGATTACCGGGGACACAGGCTCTCCCCGACTCACTTCCTGTCTCTCCTGGGAGCTCCTGTCTCACTGGGAGCTCTGTGCTTTGCTTCTCCCGTTCCCTAAACCCATGAGGCTCATTTCTACCTCTCAGAAGTTAAACATGGCACTTCCTTTCCTTTTCTGGGTCATTCTAGGTAGCCTGCAAAGCTCAGCCAGCACTCAAATGTGTGGGAGGCCTCCCATGAGCCAGCCTTTTCCCTCCACTGCAAGGTTACACAGTGCTGCCCAGGTCACACACAGTGCTGTCCCGGTCACACAGTGCTACCCAGGAAACAGTGTTGCTTCAGATCACACACAGTACTGCCCGGGTCACGCACAGTGCTGCTCGGGTCACACAGAGTGCTGCCCAGGTCACACACAGTGCTGTGCAGGTCACACCCAGTGCTGCCCAGGTCATGCACAGTGCTGCACAAGTCACACACAGTGCTGCCCAAGTCACTCACAATGCTGTGCAGGTCACTGAATGCTGCCCGGGTCACAAACAGTGCTGCCCGGGTCACACAGAGTGCTGCCCAGGTTACACACAGTGCTGTGCAGGTCACAGAATGCTGCCGGGTCACAAACAGTGCTGCCCGGGTACACACAGTGCTGCCAAGGTCATACACAGTGCTGGCCCTGTCACACAAAGTGCTGCTCGGGTCACACACAGTACTACAAGGTCACACACAGAGTGCTGCCCAGGTCACACACAGTGCTGCCCAGGTCACACAATGCTGCCCAGGTCACACACAGTTTTTCCCCAGCCCCTGTGTTCATCCATTCTTCTCTTCACCGTCTTGAGCATGATTGCATGATTTTTAACCTAGATTTACTGAGGACTAAGGCTTATCCAGGACCTAACCCATGGCTCTACAGAGGAAAATCTCTCTTTCTGTCCCTCTCTCTCCCTCTCTCCCTCTCCAACTCTGCCTTTCAAACAGATAAAAAATAAATCTTTAAGTGCTCAGGGGCAGCTGAGACAGGAGGGCTGGCATTCACACAACTGCCTACGCAGTCTGTCATTACAATTGTTGTGTCCATATACACAGATTCACAGCTGTGAATCTTAGTGTGCCTGTACTTCACAACGGGGGTGTGTGGGGGGAAGCACAGTGTTGGGCTGGGTGTCATCTGTGGTTTCCAAGTGCACTGAGGGTCTTGGTGGGCACCCCCGTGGGTGCAGGAGGGCCACGGGCCACCACTTTGAGGACCCTCCTCTTCTGCAGGGCCCACAGACATCTGCAGGAGGACCTGAGCCCGGGCCAGAGGCAGAGGGATGGGGGCATCGGCGAGGGTCTCAGTGCACTGGCTGCCATGCCCGTCCTCTTTCCCAAGGTGGGCTGGGCGCATCTGGACAGCAACATAAAAGGATAGAGATGAGTTTAACTGCTCTAAAAAGCAAAGACAAAAAGTCTCAACTCCAGTGGGCTGCGCAGGAGCACAGCAGGGGCACGGGGGTCGAGGTCATGGGGACGCCAGTCCCAGCAGGTGGAAGGGGAAGCTTCAGCCTGGAGTCCCTTGGGAGTGAGAGGGCCCAGAGCAGTGGAGCCCGAGGCTGGAGGGGAAGCTCGCAGGGTAGGAAGGAGGTGGCCCCGAGCTACGGGGGAGGCAGGGGAGGGGGAGAGGAAGGAACCTAAGCAGCAGGCAGAGGAGACCTCTGGGCAGGTGGAAGAAGCAAGGGCCTCTGAGAGGGGAAGCGGGGGCAGCTGGGGGGTGGGGGCAGGGATGAAAGCCCAATGGCCACGCCTCCACACCAGTGACTTTTTCTCCTTGCCTCCCCTCCTGAAGTGGGCCCCCTGGATGCACCCTCCTTGTGAGGAATCCAGTTCAAGTCCTCGCTACTCTCTTCCAATCCAGCTTCCTGCTAGGCACATGCTGAGAGGCAGCCAGTGAGGGCCCAAGTACTTGGGCTCCCATCACCCACATGGGAGACCCGGTTGGCGCTCCATGCTCCTGGCCCAGTCCTGCCTGTTGCATGGTTCCTCTTCTGTGCAAAGAATGGGGTTGGGCCTTGAAGGGGAAAAGAGAAGGCCGCAGCTCCCAGAGCTTTCTAGGCAACAGAAGAGACCCCTGGTGGCAGAGCCTGTCCACTGCAGACCACCCTTCTCCAACAGTAGGGCTATAATTCCCAGGTCCCCCAAGAGAGCCGTGGCCATGTGACCCTGTCCAAGCCAATCGAAGGTGAGAGGAAGTTGTGGGCGTCACTTCCAGGCGTGGCCCCGAGGAGGGTGCTCAGTGCTCCTCCTTTGAGCTCCTCCTCCTCACTCGCTGTTGCTAGGACTTGAAGGCCTACCTCCTACCATGCAAATGATGACAATGACAATGACAATGACCCACACATGGCAAAGCCACCTCCTTGCCTGAGTCTCTAGATAAGTTTATGGTAAAGAACTCATTATCCACCTTGCATTGGTTTGTGGGAAAGAAAGAAACTTACAAGCTGTTTGAGTCCTTGCATTTTAAAAAATCATATAACTCGTTAATCAATTTGAATGGCAGAGAGAGAGAAACAGACATCCATTGGCTCACTCTCCAAATGCCTACAGCTGACCCCAGCTGGGAACTCCATCCAGGTCTACCATGTGAGTGGCGGGAACCCAACCACTGGAGCCATCACTGTTTTGGTTTGCTTTTGACAGCGCAGACTCAGCACAAAGGACATCCCCGGTACCCAGGGCAACTTCGAGAAACATCACAGCTGAAAACTTTGGTCAGTCGATTTTTGGTTTTGGTTTCAATCAAGGCAAGAGGATTTTTTACTCTCTGTATGCCACAAGATTTGCTTTTGGTAAAGAAATCAGAACAGTTTGCGGCCGGCACTATGGCGTAGCAGGTAAAACTACCACCTGCAGTGCCACATCACATATGGGAGCCAGTTCCAGTCCCAGCTGCTCCACCCACTCCACTCTCCACTGATGTGCCTGGGGAGGCAGTGCAAGATGCCTCACGTGCTTAGATCCCTGCACCCACATGGAGACCCGAAGAAGCTCCTGACTTTGGCCTGGCCCAGCCCTGGCCTTCGTGGCCATTTGGAGAGTGAACCAGCAGATGGAAGACCTCTCTCTGTCTCTCCCTCTCTCTCTAACTGTGCCTTTCAAACAAATAAATAAATCTTTAAAAAAAGAAAAGATACCAAACATTTTGATCAGTTAGCGGCGAGGAGTCACAGAATAACTGCACTGGCAGGAACCCGGGAGAGCCTCGGCCAGTGCTCCCACTACAGGAGAGGAGACCGAGGCTCAGCAGTGGGAAGCTATTTTGGAGGGTCATAGGTCACGGTGTCAGAGCAGGACTAGGATCCCATTTGTGACCTCAGCCATGTCTGTCTCTGCCTCCCCACAGGCAGGAGGAGGCTGAAGCCACAGACCGTGTTCAGGAAGTGACGCTCCTGCTTCACCGAGCGTGCACAGCAGCCCCGGCAGCCACGAGGGGCAGCTCAGCAAGGCCACCAAGGGCCCAGGGTGCCCCACACCCTGTGCCTCTGCTTTGCCCAGAGCCTGGTCTGCTGAGGAGCCATGGACGCGTCCACCTAAGCTGGACCTGTGCTTGTCCCTGGACCATGAGGACCACCAGGGAGGTGAGTCTCTGGGGACCTTGAACTGACCAGTGCCTACTTCTGTGTATTTACTTACTCATTTATATTTTTATTTATTTCTTTGTTTAAAGCAGAGAGATGGAGATCTTCCTTCTGCTGGCTCATTCCCCAAATGCCTGCAACAGCTGGGGCTGGGCCAGGCGGAAGCCCAGACCCGAGAATTCACTCCAGGTCTCCCATGTGGGAAGCAGGGACCCATCTACTTGAAGGTGTGCACTGGCAAGAAACTGGAATTGGGGAGGAGCCAGGACTGAAACCCGGGCTCTGCAGTGTGGGAGCTGGGCATCCCCAGCAGCATCTTGGCTGGAACGCAGGAGTCCCAAGAGGCATCTGAACCACTGTGCCAAACACCCAGCCATGCCAAGAAAGTCCCTGTGGACCCCCGAGCGCTGTGGAGTAGCACCGCTGCCGCCGCAGGGCCGTGAAGCTGGGCCCCGCCTCCCTCGCTCCCCCGCCTCCCCCGCGTGGCTGTGGCAGGGCCACCTCTGCCTCTCCTTCCCGCCGACCTCCGAGGAGGACACTCCCATCAGGGCTCGGCACTCAGATCCATCGTGCTCAGTGTCGCGGGAGCAAGGCAGTCTTGGGGTTCATCCTGCAGCGTCACCTCTCTCACTCCCCCTGTGGCTGTGAGTACGGGGGCTTTCGGGTCAGCACTGGGCACGCCAGGCATGGAGCTCAGGCCTCAGCTTCGTTTCCCCATGCAGCCTGAGCCGGAGCTTCAGAACTGGGCCAGGGACGACAGCTGTGGACTCCCACCCAGCTTTACCCCAGGATGTAAGGGGTCCCTGGGTTATGGCTCAGCTCTTCATAAAACAGTGTATTCATTCCCACTCTGCTCTGTCACTTCTGAGTGGTAAGGGAGCATCGGGGGCATTTCTGGCCTCTTGCCATAAAACAAAACAAAACAAACAAACAAAAAATACCATCCAGCCCTCCCGCCAGCAACACTGCCTGAGACATTGTGGGGGAATTGTCAGTGTGCTTCCTGGCAGGGTTGCAAGTTCAGCCATGGCTGCCCTGAGCCATGGCGCTGGGGTGGAGGTGGGGCTTGGAGCACTCATAGAGGAGCCTGGGTGTTGCTTGGGAGGGGCACAGCTTTCCCCAGCAGATCTGCCGGGAGCCCCTGGGCTCTCTTGTCCTCTCCTCCCGCCTGTGTCCTGCAGTGGCTGCAGGCCAGGGCCACAGCAAGGCAGGAGCTGCCTCTCCCCCACCCCCCAGCAGAGGCAGTGTGGAGCAGCTGATGGGCAGGCAGGGAATACTCAGGCTGAGTTCAGCTGTTCAGCAAGGAGTCCCTTAGGCGGGGAGGACCAACACCCCATGTGCCCTGCTCAGCACCTCTGAGGCCTGACTCGTGTGTGTGTGGGGGGGGAGAGGGGGCCTGGACTGCTGCTGACAACAGAGATTGAAACCAGAGAACACCCTGGAACTTGTGGAAGCCAATAGTTCCTGGCTGCTCCACTTCTGATCCAGCTCCCTGCTAATGTGCCGGGGAAAGCAGAGGAATACAGCCTGAGTGTTTGGGCCCCTGCAGCCCATGTGGGAAGACGAAGCACCTAGCTCTCAGCTTTGGCCTGGCTCATCCCTGGCTGCTACATCTGCCTGGGGAGTGAATGAACAGATGGAAGATCTCTCTGTCTCTTTCTTTCTGTAACTCTGTCTTAAATAAATAAATAAATCCTTATGTATGTATGTATGTATATATGTATTTTTTGACAGGCAAAGTTAGACAGTGAGAGAGAGAGAGAGAGAAAGGTCTTCCTTCCATTGGTTCACCCACCCAAATGGCCGCTACAGCCAGCGTGCTGTGCTGATCTGAAGCCAGGAGCCAGGTACTTCCTCCTGGTCTCCCATGCGGGCGTAGGGCCCAAGCACATGGGCCATTCTCCATTGCCTTCCCGGGCCACAGCAGACAGCTGGACTGGAAGAGGAGCAACCAGGATAGAGCCAGCACCCCAACCGGGAATAGAACCCTGGGTGCCAGTCCCGCAGGCAGAGGATTAACCAAGTGACCAATGGTGCCGGCCATAAGCCCTTATTTATAAAATGCAAAACCAAAAAAAGTAAAAAAAAAAAAATCAGCAGGTAACGGAAAGCTATATTAAAGAATCAAATGCAAATTCTGGACGTGAAAAATATAAAAGCTGAACTTAAGAACTCATTAGATCAGTTTAACAGAAGACTGGAAACAGGTAAAGAAAGAATAAACTAGAAGGTAGGTAGAAGAAAGTGTCAGCCTGGAGTGTCAGGAGCCTAGAGACAGCACTTCTGAACAGTGTGTGCCGGGGACAGGGTGACGAGGTCGGGTGTAGGCATCACCGTCAACGTGTGAGGGCGAGGGTGAGGGCATCACAGCAGGAGTGGCTGAGAGACAGTGATTCAAGAGATAATAATGGCTGGTGCCATGGCTCACTATGCTAATCCTCCGCCTGTGGCCCCAGCACACTGGGTTCTAGTCCCGGTCAGGGTGCCAGATTCTGTCCCATTTGCTCCTCTTCCAGGCCAGTTCTCTGCTGTGGCCCAGGAAAGCAGTGGAGGATGGCCCAGGTGCTTGGGCCCTTGTACCCATGTGGGATACCCGGAGAGGGCACCTGGCTCCTGGCTTCGGATCGCAGTGCGCTGGCCGTAGCAGCCATTTGGGGGATGAACCAATGGAAGGAAGACCTTTCTTTCTTTCTTTTTTTCTTTTTCTTTTTTTTTGACAGGCAGAGTGGACAGTGAGAGAGAGAGACAGAGAGAAAGGTCTTCCTTTGCCGTTGGTTCACTCTCCAATGGCCGCCGCGGCCAGCACGCTGCGGCCGGCGCACCACACTGATCCGATGGCAGGAGCCAGGTACTTATCCTGGTCTCCATGGGGTGCAGGGCCCAAGCACTTGGACCATCCTCCACTGCACTCCCTGGCCACAGCAAAGAGCTGGCCTGGAAGAGGGTCAACCAGGACAGAATCCGGCACCCCGCACGGGACTAGAAACCGGTGTGCCGGCGCTGCAAGGTGGAGGATTAGCCTAGTGAGCCGCAGCGCCGGCCTCGACCTTTCTTTCTGTCTCTGTCTCTCACACTGTCCACTCTGCCTGTCAAAAAAAAAAAAAAAAAAAGAAAAGAAAAGAAAAGAAAGAAACCTGCAGAGGCCAGAAAGCAATGGGCTGGGCCCCCAGCTCCAGAGAGAACCGGCAGCTGAGCTCTCCAGCTCACAAAATTCTCCTTCAAAAATGGGAAAAAAAGACAATTGCACACCAAGAAAAATGACATTTCAAAGACTTTGTCACTAGACCAAGAAACAGCGAAGAGAGCACTTCAGGCTCCCATTGAAACCACAAGGGAATAAAAAGAATAAAGAACACAGGGAGTACAGAAGTGCATATTCCAAATTAATATGTATTTTACTAAATGATATAATCACATCTTCACAGCTGAAAAAGATACAGAGCGATAAACACGCGGTGGAACAGCACAAAAGATGGGAAGGGGGTCATGTGGTTGAGAGCCTATGTAAATCGGGGAGGTGGTGGAGTTCAAGCTGAGCAGACTAGCTGTTTGATAACCAGTCAAGGGGCCACATGGATGCCAGTTCAAGTCCCGGCTGCTCCACTTCTGATCCAGCTCTCTGCTGTGGCCTGAGAAAGCAGTGGAAGATGGCCCAGGTCCATGGGCCCCTGCACCCAAGTGGGAGTCCCAGAAGAAACTCCTGGTTCCTGGCTTCGGATCGGCACAGCTCCAGCCATTGCAGCCAATTAGGGAGTGAACTAACCTCTCTCACTCTCTCTTTGCCTCTCCTTCTCTCTCTGGGTAACTCTGACTTTCAAATGAAGAAATAAATCTTTTATAGAAAATAAATAAAAAGGAACACAGTCTAGGGGCCAGCCCAGAGAGGGACGTGGACCATGTAAATGACTTTCTTCAAAATGTGACAAAGACACACAGAAAAGGTGGGACAAACAGGATAAATAGCCAGGTGATAAAATATAAGGGTATTTCATAACGTTAATGAGAAATGGAATCAAAAGATAAATTCATGTTTGTGCAATTTTTTTTGAAATCCAGGTATATGAGTAGTCTTCAAAAAGCTCAGGAACTGTTCTGTGAAAAGCCACACCTGGATTGCAAAATGTTTTTGCACCAAAATAAAGCTATTTGTCCACTTTTTCATGAACTATTTGAAGTACCCTCATATAAGCCAAAATATCAATAATTACCTTCAATACAAATGGATTAAATCATCCTTTCAAAAGACAGATATTGTCAAACTGCATTACAAAGCCTAACAACACGGTGGTTTATAACAGCACTCCTTAAAAATGAGGGGAGAAATTGAAAGTGAAAGGACAGATGATGTTACACTACGCGAACCTGACACAGACATAGACACAGTCAGAAACACAGTCACAGTCACAGACACACACAGACATGGACACCATCACAGTAACAGTCACAAACACACACACAGACACAGACACAGTCACAGACATGGAAACAGACACGGTCACAGACACAGTCACACACACACAGACATAGACACAGACAGTCACACACACACACAGACATGGACACAGACACAGTAAAAGTCACAGACACACACACACAGATACAGACACACACACAGACACAGACATGGACACAGACACAGTAAAAGTCACAGACACACACACAGACACACACACACACACAGACATGGACACAGACACAGAAACACACACAGACACAGACACACACACAGACATGGACACAGACACAGACATAGACACACACAGACACAGTCACAGACACACACACACACACACACACACACACACTACCATCAGCTGAAGTAACTGGAGACCGCGAAGTTCAGTCCGAGATGATGGGCACTAGGTGATGATGAAAGGGACCCAACCACCTAAAAAATCCCCCAAGTTTATTTGCACCTAGAAATGTAATCTCTGCATATATAAGTCAGGAACCGATAAAACTGAAAAGAGACAGAAGTCTGTAACTATAGACCAAAAAACCTGAGTCACATAACAAAACAACTCATTTATATATGAAGCAACTTTGAAAGTTCATGGATATGGGGAATTAAAAGATGAGTTTACTTTGGTGTAAAAAATTTTGAGACCTATGTATAGCTTCTTCATAGTATGCATTTCCATGAACAAATGGAAGACTCCTTGTACTTATGTATGGTATAAAGGGCTTTCATAATTGCAGAAAACACATTTTCCCCCCAAATGCCCACTGCCACATTTACTAAAATATTGACAAAATGTTGAACCACACAGCAGGGCTAAACAAATTTCAAAGGATTAATATCATAAAGTTTCTCTACTGAAGTTAAGCAATAAGTAGAAAATGCTAACTAAATAGCTAAATATTTGGGAATTAACCACCACAGGTCTAAATCAACCAATGGGTCAAAGAAGAAAAGCATAATGGACATTATATAATAGCTTGCATGGATTGCTAATAAAAATACAACATATCAAACTGGTCTGACACCGCTAAAGCCAATGCTTAAAGAGAAATATATGGGGCCAGCACTGCGGCCTAGTGGGCATCCCATATGGGTGTCAGCTTGAGTCCCGGCTGCTCCACTTCCGATCCAGCTCTCTGCTGTGGCCTGGGAAAGCAGTGGAGATGGCACAAGTGCTTGGACTCCTGCACCAGCATGGGAGACCCGGAAGAAGCTCCTGGCTCCTGGTTTCAGACTGAGCCAGCTCCAGCTGTTGTGGCCATTTGGGGAACGAACCAGTGGATGGAAGACCTGGCTTTCTCTGTCTCTCCCTCTGTCTGTAACTCTTCCAAATAAATCAATAAATCTTAGAAAAGGAGAAATATATACCTTAAAATCCACACAAATAGAAAAGACAAAGACTAAAAACCAAAGAAACGAGCCTCTATCTCAATTGAAAAAAGAACTGCAGGGGCCAACACCGTGGCTCACTGGGTTAATCCTCACATATGGGCGCCAGGTTCTAGTCCCAGTTGCTCCTTTTCCAGTCCTGCTCTCTGCTGTGGCCCAGGAAGGCAGTGGAGGATGGCCCAGTACTTGGGCTCCTGCACCCACATGGGAGACTGGGAGGAAGCACCTGGCTCCTGGCTTCAGATCAGCACAGCTCCAGCTGTAGCGGCCATTTAGGGGGTGAACCAATGGAAGGAAGACCTTTCTGTCTCTCTCACTGACTATACATCTACCTGTCAAATAAACAAAAATAATATTAAAGGCATGAACAGAGAACTTGATCATGCAATAAAGTTAAAAAAAAAAGAACTGCAAAACATGTATTAGATAAGAATGAATTAATCATAAAAGAAATGAATAAAATAAAACCAAAAGATAGAAATGATCAACATAATCAAAAGTTGGTTCTTTGAAAAGATAACCTGTTGTTCAGTAACCAAGAAAGAGAAAACAAAAATAGCCAGCACCAGGGATGAAAGGACATCCCTATGGATTTCAGATACAACAAGGGTGAAAGAATGAGTTCCTTTCTGCCATTAAATTTGATACAGGTTTTGATAGACAGTAGCTCTCACATTTTAGTTTGCAATCTCCAGGAGGTACCCAAGCCACTGTTATGTCACCCATGAGGTCAAAGCTACTTTCATACTACTACTAACATATCTGTCCTTTGATTAATTATAGGAGAAGAGCAGTTAAACTGCGGTTTGGACCATGACACCAAAGTGAAAGGGGGGGGCATGAGGTGTCGGACGGGCTAGTGGCAGTTAGGTCAGTTAGTGGCACTTACTTTCACCAAAGCTAGACAAGACTGTAACCCCTGCCTTCTGACTAGCTGTTTTTCTGTTCCTCCTCTGATTGGCTAAATCTAGGCTTAATTTTCAGAATGGGGCCAGAGAGAGCCACTCCGTGTGTAGAAAGGGCAGATGCCCACAGGCTTTTCTGGCAGCTCCTCCCTAGGAGTCCCCCTCCTGTCTCACTTAGAATAAACCTTGCTTTATTTAGCGTCCCTGTCCTCGTGGAAATTCTTTTTTGAGACGAGACAAAAACCAAGATCCCCCTCATCTTCCCACAACAAAATACTATGGCAAAGTGGAGCCACCAGGACACAATCCGGTGCCCATAAGGGATGCCGGCATCACAGGTGGTAGCTTTATCCACTAGGCCACAACCACCCACCCCAGGAATCAGTCCTAACTGACCAATAAATGATGTGATAAAATCCACAATCCAAGTAAGACAAACTAAAAGGTAGGGTTTTAACGTTGATAGAGGATAAGTAGGATCTCACATTGCAGGTAAACTAAGAACCCACCATTATCAAACTTTAGTGTAATCTGAAAATAATTCATAATGATCTAAAAAGGGTTAAAACCCTCCCCTCCTTCCCAAAACTGAGGCCAGTTTTTACTCATATAATTTAGCCAAAAGAACAGACTATATATATATATATATATATATGAGTCCAGTTTTCTATACAATTTTCTTTTAACTTGGAAGCATAATTTTAAAGATTTAATTGACTTGAAAGGCAGTGAGGGGGTGAGACAGAGAGGGACCTTCCAACTGTTGGTTCCCTCCCCAAATGACTGCACCAGGACCCAGAATCCTGAAGCTCCAACTGGTCTCCCACATGGGAGTCAGGGCTCAAGTACTTTGGCCACCTTCTGGGCCTTCCCAGGCGTGTCAGCAGGCAGCTGGACCCGAAGCACAGCAGCCGGGACTCCACACAGTGCTCTTACAGAGCGCTGGTGTCCCAGATGGTGGCCGAATCCATTGTACTACAACACCGGCCCCAGAATTTTTTTTTTTTTTTTTTTTGGATAAGCAGAGTTAGAGAGAGAGAGAGAGAGAGAGAGAGAAAGGTCTTCCTTTTCCATTGGTTCACCACCCAAGTGGCTGCTATGGTGGGTGCGCTGCGCCGATCTGAAGCCAGGAACCAGATGCTTCCTCCTGGTCTCCCATGCAGGTGCAGGGCCCAAGCACTTGGGCCATCATCCACTGCCTTCCCGGGCCACAGCAGAGAGCTGGACCAGAAGAGGAGCAGCCGGGACTAGAACCCGGCGCCCATATGGGATGCCGTCGCCACAGGTGGAGGATTAGCCAAATAAGCCGCGGCGCTGGCCCAGAATTATTCTTAACATGTAGTGAGTTTACTTATGAGTATCTTTACAATGTCATGTTCATTTCTAATAAAACAAACATCAGTAAAGCTTCAGAACTGCAGTCTCAGGGTAAAAGGTCTTCTGACACCAACTACAAAGGACGTAGGAGATGGGAACTGTCCTTGAAGAACCTGCGTCCATAACTCACAGCCTTCTCCCACAGAGACTCACAGACTCAGGTGGTTTCACTGGTGAATTTTTCTCGTTATTCAGGAAACAAAAATGTTTACAGTGGGGAAAAACAGAATTGTCATGAGAAATGTAATGCAGCCCGAGATACTAAACATCTGGATCCACATCCACCTGGTTTTTCCTTTTTAAAATTAATTTACTTGACGAGCAGTGTTCCAGAGAGGGAGAGACAGAAGAGATCTTGCATCTGCTGGTTCACTCCCAGATGGCTCTGAGAGCCAGGGCTGGGCCACACTGATGCCAGGAGCTTTATCAGGATCTCCCACATGGATGCAGGGGCCCAAGCACCTGGGCCATCTTCCACTGCTTTTCCAGGCCATTCGCAGGGAGCTGGATCAGAAGTGGAGCAGCCAGAAATCAAATGGTACCTACATGGGGTGCTGGTGCTGCAGGTGGAGGATTTACCCACTAGGACACAATGCAGACTTCCCATCTGGTTTTTTCAAAACATTTATTTGAAAGGCAAACTGACACAAAGAGACAAACATATTCCAATTGATATGGTGCACCAGCGTTGCGAGTGATGACTTAACCCACTGTGCTTCAGAACCAACACTCTCCATCTCAGTTCTGATGACGTTGTTCCAGGTCTACTTCAGATACACCCTAAAATTATTTTCAAATAACTTATTTAAAAATTTCTTAGGTGGCCTGAATCTTCATTTGTTGAAAACGCTCAAGTTCTGGAAAGTTACCAACAAATCTTTATATTTTTATAGAAGATTCATTTACTTATTTGAAAGTCAGAGCTACATTGAGAGAAGAGGTAGCGAGAGAGAGAGAGAGAGAGAGAGAGAGAGAGAGAGAGAGAGAAGGAAGCAGGGAGGGAGGGAGGGAGAGGGAGAGGGAGAGAGAGGTCTTCGATTCGCTGGTTCATTCTCAGTTGGCTGCAACGGCCAGAGCCATGCCAGTCAGTAGCCAGGAGTCAGGAGCCTCTTCTGGGTCTCCCATGCACCTGTAGGGGCCCAAGCACTTGGGTCATCTTCTACTACTTTCCCAGAGCATAGCAGAGAGCTGGATCAGAAGTGGAGCAGCCAGGTCCCGACCGGTGCCCATATGGGATGCTGGCACTGCAGGAGGCGGTTTACCTGCTATGCCACAGCACTGGCCCCTGCCTACAGATCTTAATAGACCCTCTGGCCAGTTCCTTTGTATGCATCACGCAGCCACCACACACAATGGAATGGGCCATGGGCTCTGGCCAGGTCTGGACCTTTCAGGGCCAGTGTCTCCATGGCCAGTGATTAGGATATCAGGATGACACAGGGACAAGGCAAAGATTTGTGTATGTTCAACTTTTATTAATGAGATACAAGAGGTATGCAGAGACTTCTGGGAAATTCTTCCCTTGAGAGAGGCAACAGGAAGCAGCTCTTCTTTCTGGACAAGGATGCACCTAGGGAATGCGGTCCAGATCATCTCAGAGGGCAGAGGAAAAAATTACAGACGCAGAATAACACGGATAAACCAATCCCCAGAGTGCAGTCTTCCTTTCATTGGGTGGTGTGAGCTTCCCGTTCCTTCAACTTTTGGGTTGGGGTTTCACTCTCTTGCCACAGTAAGCATTTCAAGTCCAGAATTCATTATTTAAGGAAATGCTGCTTGGTATTACAGATGTACAAAGTGAGACGCACCTGCGCTGTGCCTAAACAAAGGCATCTCGTACACATTCACGCTGCACTGTGGTGTGTGGCTACCACTGATACCTGTGGCATGCTGTACTGTTAACTGTATACAGCTGAGGAGTGGTGCTGGCGTGTGAGTTAACCCGTTGCCAATGCAGAGGTGCTACAAGGGACCTGCCTATGCTCAGTGCCGTCCTGGGATGCTGACTATCACTGATGAAGAACAGGTCAAGGCATTTGCTTCCAGACGGGACCAGAGGCCTGTTGTTTATCTGTCCATACAATATCCTAGGAAGCACAAAGGACCCTTTAGGATGACCTCTCCCTTTCGGGGGCTTACTGAGTGCTGAAACGGGAAGGTCTTCTCCGTCTTCACAACAGAGCCAGCTCTAGCCCCTTGCTGCTAATGCCCACCTGGAGATGACAGCACCATCAAGGGATCCTTTGCTGAACTGTGTTTCTCCAAGGCCTGAAATTTCATTGTATTTGGTTTCCTCTGGTAAGCACATGGGAAAGCAGGAAGTAAGTACTTTGGTGTATCATGTGCTGACTGAATCCCCAGGAGAAGCCACCACTACGCCTTCAGTCCCCTCCCCTCCACCTCGGGGAAATGTATCTTCAGGATCACAACTAATTAGCTACAGGTCTGCAGAATCCTTGTGTTTCAGGAGAAAACAAGAATCTAAGCGAACTGTACTTTAAGGAAGGGGTTTTATGGAACCCACATTTCCTGTCTACTCTCCTTCGACTTTCTGGCTGCAAAATGGATACAACTCACGCACAAAGATGCGATTCATGAACCAGTGTGTTTTCTCTAACTATGGAGAGGCGGTTGTGGGGAGCAACTCGGACTAGACTAAGTTACTGGAATTAAGACTTATTCTATGCATCTGCTCTCCCACAATATGGCGCTGGGAGAGGAGGAAACAGCTTCTACGCAGCTGCCTCTTGCCAACTTGAGTGATGACCTCCAGGAGCTGATCCTGCTCCTGATTGGAGGAGAGCAGCGTACTCGGCGTGTGGGCAGCCGAGTTGGGATTGGCGGAAGAGGACTATAAAGGAGGAGAGAGACAACATGCACCAGGAACATCTGAAGGAACACCTGAGCAGCCCCCGAGAGAGCCGGCCGGCGGTGTGCCGCTCCCCCGCGGAAGTGGGGAAAGTGGCTAGGGGGAACCGCCCTTCCACGGAGGTGGAAGGGTCAGTAGCCAACCCGGGAAGAACCAGCAGCAAACCCGGGGAGGGCCGAGCAGACAAAAGAACAGCGCAGGGTCCTGTGTCGTTCCTCCACGAAGACGGGGAGCGACAGCGGTAACCTTTGAGATCAAGTACCTGTGCTTCCAGTTGTACCACTGTGATCCTGGAGGGGAAACAGCAAACTGTCTGGGACTCTGGTGTCTGCATCGACACAGCTCTGGCTATTAAGTAAAACATCAAGTGGCGACTTAAAGGCCTAAAGAGTGATTTACTCAAGAGGGCATGTCTGTTCTCACTTAAGTCGGTTTCCATTGTCTTCAGGAATCATCTGTACTTGGGCCCCTGCATCCATGTGGGAGACCCAGAAGCAGGTATTGGCTTTGGCCTGCCCCAGCCAGGTCATTGTGGCCATTCTGTGGGAGTGAATCAGTGGAGGGAAGATCTGTCTCTCCTTCTCTTTAACTCTGTATTTCAAATCAATAAATCTTTCAAAAAAAAAAAAAAAAAGAGAATTATCTGTGAAATCACTGGGTGAGCAAACCCCTCCTCCCAGTATACTAAACAAGTCAGCACTTGCCTGACTGGTCACAACCCACACATCTCTTCCATAGTCTGTATTGTGATTAAGTGTATAACGGAACACATGCACGTTTGGATCATTTTCTATGTTCCATCTAATACTATGTTGTCAATATCTACCATTCAGATCAATACTGAAGAAAAAAGTGTGTTCTACCAAGAAAAGTGGAAAGAGATCCTCTCTTATGACAACATATGGAGGCTGGTGCTGTGCCAGCCTCCCATATGGGTGACAGTTCGAGTCCTGGCTGCTCCACTTCTGATCCAGCTCTCTGCTATGGCCTGGGAAAGCAGTAGAAGGTGCCCAAGTCCTTCGGCCCCTCCTGCATCTGTGTGGCAGACCTGGAGGAAGCTCCTTACTTCTGGTTTCGGATCAGCTCAACTCCAGCAGTTGTGGCCACTTGGGGAGTGAACCAGTGGATGGAGGACCTCTCTCTCTGCCTCTCCTCTCTCTGTGTAACTCTGACTTTTAAATAAATAATAAATCTTTAAAAAAGAAACACAACACATATACACTTCTGAACTTTTTTTTTTAAGATTTATTTATTTATTTGAAAGGCAGAATGAGAGGAGGGGCAGGGGAGAGAGTGAGAACAAGAGGTCTTCCATCTGCTGGTTCATTCTCCAAATGCTCCCTAAAGCTGAGGCTGGGCCAGGCCAAAGCCAGGAGCCAGAAACTCCATCTGGGTTCCCTGCAAGGGCAGGAAGAATGTAAGCACTTGGACCATCATCACTGCTTCTCAGGCACATCAGCAGGGAGCTGGATCGGAAGCACAGAGGAGCTGAAACTCAAACTAGGCACTCCAACACAGAGTGAGAGTGTTCCAAGCAGTAGCTTAACCTGCTGTGCCACATTGCTCACCTGGGCCCACTTCTGCTCTACTTCAGCTGAACTACGTGGTTATAGGCCAAAGTTTCTGATAAAATGATCACTTCACAGTCAAGTAGGTTTTATGAATATGCCACATAGAACTTACTATAGTGTATTCTAATTTTTCTTAACAAAAATGGACACAAGGCAAAATGAAAAAAATTTTATTTCCTGTGTTTTATCCACTGTCAATACTGTATTTTTGATGCAATATATTTGCCAAAAAGAAAAACCCAGCTTTTGTTTTCCATTTTAAACAACTACAATATTTACAAGCTGTTTAGAGTAACACTCAGACGCACACACACTCACAGACACGCGCGAGTACATGGATCCTCACCTCCGGTTTATACTGAATGCTGGTAAAGGCAATGAAGACTTTCCGGAGCCCATGATCAGAAAAAGGAAACCCATTTTTCTTCCCCACACCTACTTTCCAAGAGTCAGTTTAAATTCTTCCTTCCATTTCCTCATGCAGAGCTCACTGCCAGACTTGCGTAAGGTTAACATAGTTTTTACAGTTTACTTCAACTATAAGCTTATAAAATGCATAAGCAGACATGATCTCACCCCCCCCACCACCACCACCCTGTTTCTTTTATTTTGGTGTAGAATCAAGCTTCATATATAAAAAATCTTGTTCAACCACAAGTACATAAACCAAGAGTCATCTGGAGCAGCCATCTCATTCTCTCCCATGTCTCTCTCTTAATTCCAGGTGTCTCCTCACCCAGGCAGTAACACTCAGGAACTCCTCCCTATCTCGGTGTTAGACAACCTTTGTTCCTTCTAGCGTGGCTCCACTGAATCACAGATGGTCAGGACAGAGCTGAGGCATAAGAAGAAAGGTATAACCCTATATAATAGGTATGAGTCTGAGAACAAAGTTGTCATATAACCTTGCACTGACAATCAGCTCTAGTTGCCCCCAAAAATGTTATGCTGGTTCTACAAAATGGTAGATAACAAATCATAAATAGTTGTCTTAATTCAGAAAGAATATGTGGCTTATAGGCAATAAAGAAAAATAATTACATGTTAATTCTTGACAGATAACTCAGGTGAGGTGTTTCAAAGCAGAAAATACAATTCTGTTTCAAACAATTAATACTCCACTCATATCCTATCAGGCTTATTTGTATAATAATTTCTTCCAATCTCAGTCCTTACCTAAATATGTTAACAGGTTAAAAATGAGAAGGCTTGTATATATATCAACCAAATTGTTTTTCAAGAAGAGAAATGGAAAAAAAAAGGGGGGGGGGATGGCTTTCTAATGCCTGATAATAATAAAAAAAAGCTACACATATCTACTTTTCCTCTTTCTCCAGATCAGTAAAACCCAATATCTACAAAAGACTTAACCAGAAGGCTCAAAGCCCATTAACAGGTTACCACCTTCGCCTTGATTGACAATATTGTCTCATTTTGGAATGAAAAGAAAAGGCTCTAGAATAAAAAGGGATATTTTATACCTCATCTGAACAGTGTATCATTTCAAAAGAAAAAGCTAACAGGGTGTACGTGCATACAAAATAACTTCATATGAATATGTTGAAATACAAAAAAGAATGAGAATGAACACTGCTGAGGACTTAAAATAACCCAGAAAGGGCTTGTCCATGTTCATGGGAAAGCAATTAAATATTAAAATTAGTTAACAGTCTAGGCAGCAGTTGATGATTTAGCAGCTAGTAAACATAAATCCAAGAATTCTCACACAAAACTACCACTATCATCTTTTTCTCAAGTCCAAGGTAAATTTAGGAGGAAGGATGAGTGAAAAATTAGCTACAAGAAAAAGACCGCTTTAGACACTGGGCGGGTCCTGAGCAGAGAAGACCCAGTCCTGGACGAACGACTCGGGACATCAGTCTCCGGTCTGTAGGCAGGAGCAGGAGGCCGCTCAGATGGGAGCTGTTCTTTCATGTTCTCGTGTGAGAGGGAAAGCAACCCGGAGAGAAAACCACATCTCCTTACTGAGCTCCAGTTTCCTGTGTAAAGCCCTGTGCTTTCACTGCCTTATGTTTAGTACACAGAGTAGTTTTCCATACCTCACTTGGGACAGAAATGTTGTCTATTTCTGTTTCAACAATCAGTAGAAGTATTTCAGATGTCCTTGATATAGTTCAAATCTAATGGAATCTAATCCTCCAGTAACAGAAACCCATAGAAAGGAGAACCTAAACTTGTTCTCTAATTTCCTGCAAGGCAAATATCTCCTCTTACTGTGAAATACACAAAGCGGGCCTCACCACACACTCTCCTACCTTTCTTAAACATCAACATCCTGCGTTCATCTAGATCTTGGGAAAAATTAAAGTTCTTTAGCAAAAAGTCAACATTTGGAGTCTTAAAAATGTTGAAAATGATGTAAAAACCAGGGTTATACCAAGGTATGAGGTGAAAGGTTAACCAAAAACTTAGTGCAGAGCGACTTACAACTCATTCCAGGACTGCCCTTCCTCAAAACTGGGTTGGGGGTGGGGCCAAATCAAACAAGGAGAAACAAAGATTTCAATCACGCAGCTCTTATTTAAAAGGAAATAAAAAGCTAGTGTTTTAATTACATTTTTTTTTTCAAATTAGGGAACTCTGAAAGCCTTGGCAGTTATGAACTAAAGATGAAAAAGGTCAAGCAAAGAATCTAAACAAATGACTCAGTATTCTGGGGGTTAGAGTAGGGCAGGGATAAGACATTTATGAGCAATTTAATTAGTGAAAGTGTGCTTATTTCTATATAATAATTTAGATCAAATTAAGACATGAATCGTTCTTCAATTTCCCTCAGTGTAATTAGAAAAGTAATATGACTTCAGAGTCAATATGTTTAACAACTCTCGTCCTTCTGAGTGAGTTCCAATTTTTTATTTCTCTTTGGGAAAATGAATTATCTTCCACCTAAGATGGCAAATAATCTGCTTCTCTCTTTCCACTGAGGCAATGACCATGAAAAAAATCATATTCATCTCAGAAAGGGAACAAGCAGCAGGAAGCATAATTCCTTTGAGAAAATCTAGACTACCTATAGACAAATAGATGACAGATAGACAGCTCATACATTCAGTGTTAGAAAAAAGAAAACCAACACTGAACTTTGATGGTATGCTGTAGATTTGCCCAAATGAGGCAAATACAGAACATAATGATACTATTAGGGATATACATGTTAAAGTGGTCAATTTAGAAAGGATATCTTTGTGTAGAGGTTCAGTAAATCATTCGAAAATATCTTTACACAGTAAATTTTGCAAAGTGTGAAGTCTACAGAAATGTCAACACAAGGCACACTGGGTTCTAAATGAACACCAACTTTAAAATTAGAAAAAGGGAAAATAGATATGTTTTGAAGTAGAAATGCAGTAAGATTTTATAATCTAGCTATTTAATTTCTTAGTTTCATTCCTTCTAGTGTAATATTATGCTATGTTCTGAGATCTCTATCAGAATTAGTAGAAAAACAGCTTTTCTCTCCTGCCACCTCATCCAGAGATACTCTAAGCATGTGCGGTCCAACAGTAGCCACCAGGCACATACAGCTACTGAGCAACTGACACATGGCTAGTACCACATGTTGAAGTAGTAATACTTTTGGGTATTTTGGATTGAATAACATGTCTCAGAATCAGTTTTACCTGCTTCTTTTTACTATCTACTCACAGGGGGTGGAAAGATGGCTGCTCCTAAATGATCACAAGAGATGTACAATTTTCTTTGGAGTTTCAAACCAAAAGAGACAATTTTCTTACAAATTTAAAAAACACTAAAAGTTGCAAATTAAATCTAAGTTGCAGTTCCCATGTAACCTAATTGTAAATCTGAGTTATATATTTCCCTGAATACAACCTTTCTAAAAAAAAACCAATATAATTTATGAGACAACATATGAATTAAGTCAATTTCACAGTTATAAATATTTCAAATTACATGTACACACTATAAATTACAGAAAATAAAATTCAAGTAATAGAAAAAGAAATGAAGGGGGAGTAAAAAGCAAGTTATTAAAGAGGAATTGAACAATATGAACTGCACCATTTGGATAATTTTGCTTGAAAAAATTTTACTTGATTAACTGAACTGTGTATGAATAACTTCAAGAGCTCCGAACTCTTCAATAAAAATCAAGCAATCCTTTCTTCAGGTTCCCGGACATTCATCATCTTCTGTGAAGAGCCAAAGCAGTTTCTTCCCAGAATGGACCCCAGCAGAGCTGGCCCCACGTGGAGAGCAGCAGGGCACACAGGTGCACACTGCGTCAAGCTCACCTGAAATGTGGACGCAGAGGCTGGCAGTAGTGTCCACACGGTTGATCCACTGACCACTACCAGCTCTGGGAAGTGTCACGGATGAAGCTGGGTATGTCTTGAGACCCCATGTTCATTTTAAAGAACACGTCCAAAGTACTGGCATGAAGTAGATTACTAACAGAAAACGAACAGCACAGTTCCTGTTTTCTATGTTTCCAAGGAAAGGGGTGGGGTTAATCCCAAAGGCAATTTAAATAATGGGATTTTATTTTTATATATAAATAAATGTTCTGAGAAACCTCAGACTTTAGTGCATTGTTGTAAAAAAATTAGTGCAGTTTTTTCATTAAAGTTTTTAGCGCTCAAGGAATAAGATAAATCTCTGTCTGTTCATAGTCTCTTTTACTGTACATTAAACTTTTATACTGCTATGTGTCAAGCTGAACGCTTCTACTCTGGTTTTTCAAAATCAAGGTAAATGGATTTCATGTTCTAGGACAAAACATGGCAATTATTTTTGGCAAAGAAATTAGAAAAATATGAAATCATAGTTTAGAAATGAAGACTTTGTTGATTTAAAGCATAGGCAATGCATAGGAAAAACCTTTCTTAAAGATGTATTTTAACTGAACTTTATCCTTCATGCAAAATGTCTTCTTGGCAGCTAACTTAAAAAAATATTTCAGCTTTACTTGGGGACGGGAACAGTGACAGGAGTCAAGGTGACGGGGGAAGGAGAGGCGCTTAACCAAGCCCACTCTGTTTTCAAGTCTGTCCCACAGAGGATCAAAGTGACACCTGCAGGCAGCTTCTGCTGGCCCCCCCTTTCTCCAATTCCTTGGACTGGAGAGGAAGAGAAATAGAGCAGAAAACATGGGCTCACACTTCAGCCCCAAGTTCTAATACCCCAGTTTCAATGACAGTCACATATTTATCATCAATCTGGACCAGAAGCACTGCCTTGTCGATGTGGGATCTAGTACCTGGATCTCTGCTGCAAGGCACCCATCGGTGAATCACCTAATGATTCAGAATAAAACAAGACATTAGTGGCAGAGAACTCGAGTGTACTCAAACTCTCATCGCTCACTTAGAAGCACAGGGGGCAATTGTGTTTCAAAGACTAGAGCCTCAGTATTTCCTTCAGCTGAAACCACACATACAAGTACATCAGGACACGCCTGCCAGCCTCATGGGGTACTCACATGGCCTTCCATGCCCTCCTGAGGACTCCAGTCTTTCCAGCTGTTTCTCCCAGCTTTTAACCGAATCCCCTCATCAGGCCATTGCAGCTCTTTCCTTTTCGACAGGTTGATCCCTTCCAGAATTTGACTGGGATCCACAATCTATATAGTAAATAAATAAGCATCACTCCCGATTCATTTTTTCTTCATAACAAAAAACAATTACAAACAAAATTTCTTTCACAGACCCTGTTTCTCACATTCTCCACCGCCTCAGTTCTTCCTAACCTACTACTGGCAGGCCTTACTGCAGTGGCCGTGTGGTCAATGCTAACCAGGCAGCGGTATCACCACTGCAAAAACTGCTTGCTCTCAGTTTTTAAGCTGGCAGCAACTTCTTTTTTCAACATTCAAAAATGTTCTAGTCTTCAGACTAAACAATATAAAGTATTTTCTTTTCCTTTTAAAGATTTATTTATTTATTTATTTATTGGAAAGAGTTACAGAGAGAGCACAAGATCTTCTATCTGCTGGCTCACACCCTAGATGGCCGCAAAGGCCAAAGCTTGGCCAGGCTGAAGCCAGGAGCTTCTTCCAGGTCTCCCATTTGGGTGCAGGAGCCCAAGGACTTGGGCCATCTTCTGCTGCTTTGCCAGGTCATTATAAGGGAGCTGGAATGAAACTGGAGCAGTCAGAACTTGAATTGGTACCCATGTAGGATGCTGGCATCGCAGGCTGTGGCTTTACCTGCTATGCACAACCATGGCCCCAAAAGCTGTTTTCTGAGTCCTTCCTCCTTCAACAAAGACAAAAGACTAACAGAAGACCTCTGGGTTTACTCACTTGGACTCTGTAGATCACCTCCCCCTTTCTGGAGTGTGAATTAGCGGCAGGACTAAAGGTGTTGCCTGGCTGGGTGTCAGTGGCACTGCCCTGACCTCCCTCTGTCCCCAGAAAGCCGACGAGAGTGTGATGCTTGCAGGCAGGGATGCTTTGGCTGGAGCTGCTGGAAGAAGGCAGGCCATGCTGCATACCGGCCAGGCCACTCTGCCCGGGCGGCTCCATCTGGTTCACCATGGAGAGGCGGGACTGGATGGATGCCGGCAAGTTGCGCAGTGATATCTGACTGGTGGAGGAGCGCCGACAAGGCACAAACCCTGTGCTAGACATCCGGAGAGAAGAATGCCGGCTGCTGTAGCAATAGGAAGACTGGCTAGCTCCCGAGGCGCGCGCAGGGGACTGTCTCACCAGCGTGGACTGCACAGAGTGGGCGCTGTGGCTGGTGCCTGGAAGGAGAAACAACAGCGGAGCTCATTCACGGTGGGCGATTCAGATACAGAGCTTCTGGGCTGTGGTTTCTTAAGATTTTTAGCCCTCAAGCAATTACTTGGTGAATTTACAGAAGTTGATATTTATACCTAAAACTTCAAAGTTGTGAAACAGAAACAAGCATCTGAAATCAGTTTTTTGTGTGTATTGTTTTATAATTTTCATTTGTTCATTTTTTTTTTAAGATTGATTTATTTATTTGAAAGTCAGAGTTACACGGAGAGAAGGAGAGGCAGAGAGACAGAGAGGTTTTCCATCCACTGGTTCACTCCCCAAATGGCTGCAGTGGCTGGAACTGGGCTGATCCGAAACCAGGAGCCAGGAGCTTCTTCCAGGTTTCCCATGTGGGTGCAGGGGCCCAAGGACTTGGGCCATCTACTGCTTTCCCAGGCCACAGCAGGGAGCTGGATCAGAAGTGGAGCAGCCGGGTCTCGAACTGGCGGCCATATGGAATGCTGGACTGCAGGTGGCGGCTTTACCTGCTATGCCACAGCGCTGGCCCCTGTTAAGGTTTTCTAAAATTCAAAGTCTAGGGCACAAGAAATACTTATAAACAATTTGCAGCAAATATGATTTAAGGTTGGGATATATCCTAAACTAAGTGTCCTTACAGAAATATCTCAGAAGAGTAAGGATACCTCTTCGCTCCATCAGAAACAAAATCTCTCATGGAAATGAGACTGAAATATGTATTATAAAGTACCAGCACCGCATGAGCTCACTGCACACTCTACTCTCACAAGGCAGAGCGGGAGCAGAGGGCAGGAATGCAGAAATGCTGGCCGATGGGAAAAAAGTCTGACGGGAGGAATATGTTCTGGAGATGTATAGCATAGCAGTGACAACAGCTAATAATTTATTGTGTGCCTGAAAATTGCTAAGTGAGTAGATCTAAAGTGTCCTTACCCCAAAAAGGAGTACGTATGGAGGTGAAAGATGTGTTAAATAGCTCAATTTAATCATTTCACGATGTATTTATTGATCAAAATATCACATTACATACCATAAATACATATAATTTTTATTAATTAAAACAAAGGAAATATTTATGAAGGACCTACTATATGGCAGGCTCTGTAACTACTATTCCCAAAGCATTCACTGGCTCCCAATGACAAGCTGCCTACAGAGAGATAATGAGTAGCACTCTGTAATGTTCGCACACACTAGGGGATCACTACTCAGTACAAATTATCAGTGACACTGCATGGCAGGCTCTTCTGTGTCCTTTATACAAGTGGTTCGATGTGACTCTTCAGATGTATTTTTCCTCTCAGAGGAATAACATGAAGATTATTAGGAAACAGTAATTATATTATTACTGAAAATACAGTTAATATACTTTATACCCCAAAATAAAAAGCAAAGACACATCTGAAGTACGGCGCAGGGCCAGCACTATGGCATAGAGGGTAAAGCCGCTGTCTGCAGTGCCGGCTTCCCATATGGGTGCCATTTCGAGACCCGGCTGCTGTACTTCCCATCCAGCTCTCTGTTGTGGCCTGGGAAAGCAGCAGAAGATGGCCCAAGTCCTTGGGCCCCTGCACCTGTGTGGGA